TAAATAGATGCTCTATCTATCTTATTAATGGAACATTCTTTTCCAGCTTTGAGAAATAATAAGAGAGCATCTTATGTTTCTGAGAATCTTACTTTTGTAATGGTGAGAGCCGACCACAGTATATGGTGTTTTCAGGAATGGAATTCTCAGACGTGTCAATATCGGGATTTACCACACTCAAGTATACTTCTTGGCCCAGATACCATGAGGCGAGATTGTCTATTCGGAGGTTCCACATGCCAGCATTGTCCAAATATACTAAGATGGCCGTCCATGCACCAGGAAACACCTGTAAACACAGGAGCTATTTAAAAACAACACAGAAACAAATGTAACATATTGGTTTTACATGTTAAGACATAAGACCTGCGTAGTAGATCGAGCAACCCCATCCCCCTTGTTGTATGTGCTTCTGCTATTCTCTGTCCACCGGCCAACGTCCATCCTTCAAGAAAAGCATCATTCTTTTTCAAAATTGGATTTTCCCTGATATTTAAATGTCTGGACATGTAGATGGATCTAATAAAACTAATGCAACCTTACCCGACAACAAAAAATGCATAACCATCCAAGTGATAGCTCTTAACAGTGTTCTCACTATTCTGAAATATGATTTCCATGAATCCCTTGAACGTGCCGTTTATGACAGAGGTGTCAACCTTGGGATGCCTGTTCATTGGTCTTTTTGGAAAATCCAACTTGTATACCCCTGAGATGTTGTATTGCTGAGCAAGCTTTAAGGGTGTTGAAGGAGGTAAGTATGATATACCATTAAGAGTGGTACGCAATCGCCCATCTATTAGCTCTGGTGGTCGGTTGACAATCACATAGACATCAGTTACTGTAATCTGGCCATATTTGAAAGACCCCTGAGGGTTCGGGCGGGCAGCTCCAGCTGAGACATTCAACCTACCAAACCGCATTCCCATCAGCAACAAGTAAAAAGTTGCAGAATTAAATAGAAGTAAAAAGGATACAACCATTTCCAGACTGTGCTTTACACAAAATACCATTCTGGTCAAGATATATTTGAGTATGAAACATAACTATACGTAGTTGTTAACAACCTTATGGATCGTGCCTGGTTCATTGAGAAAGATGTGTCCAACTCAACAGGAGGATCAGGGAGTGGACCTGAAGCGGGTCCTTGGGAATTAGAGTAGTGCAAGATAGCAACTCCGGAAGCTTTGACGGATGAAGATGAATTAGCAAACCTTGGGCTGGCAACAATGTAGTAGTCATTACTACCAGATTGATCCATAGTGACCAGAAATGAGAAAGATTGACCCACATGAATGTCCATATTCATATAATTCTGCTGAATTGTGTATGATCCTTCTGTCTCAACAAGAAGTAGGTTATGATTCTGTATTCTGAAATTCAAGCTGGTTGCAATTCCAGAGTTATGAACACGGAAACGATATGTTCTTCCTGGAAAAGAAGAAGATATGAATGTGGTCAGGGACGAGAGGAGAATCAAAGTATAAACCACACCACATCTATAAAAACTCTATTGTGAGCCTGAATGGCGTCAGAGACATTTTAACATTAGGGTATCAAGATGAAACCAACCGAAGATTCAACAAAAAGGGATAGATAAGGCTTATTCTCTATTGATATTTTTTGAAGGATACCTGGTTCAACGCTTATTGTCCCATAAGGAATACCATTTGAAGCGACCTCGCGACTGTAGGGAAAAGGTCCAAATCCATTGATGAGGATGCCATCCGGAGCTCCAAAGTCAATCTTACTCTCAACATCCTTCCTCAGCTTCTGATGTAGACAGAAAAAAAGAAGAGGAAGTTAAAACAAGCGTAGCAAAGGAGACAGCAAACAATGGAGAAACATTAGATTTAGCGTAAACCTTATGGGTCTTAGTGAACCAATCACTGATAAGGAGGGTAACATCTCCATCCGGGAGAGCAAAGGGAACGGGAATGATGTCACGATTGTTGATAATGATTCCTCCATAACCACCAGCTGCTCTCTGAAAATTTGTAGAAGGAAAGTAAAAGAAACTTCCAATCTGGTCTTTGACCTGAAACTCATAAGTCCAGTTCCAGCCAGAAGGAATGGGACAATTAGTCCCCAAAACACCATCTTGCCATGAGTTTTTCCTATGTTGGATTCCATTCCTACAAATACAATCACCACCACAGTATATAAATGACCAATCATAACAATGATATATATATATACAGTAGCCTGAACAGAATCAACATACCATGTGAGGAGCAACGGCTCATCAAGATCATTCTTCACGTTCATAACAACATTCCAATTCGTAGTTACGTTGAGAATGGGGCCAGGGAAAAGCCCATTTATCCCAATAACCTGGAGGAACATGAAAGTTCAGCATCAATGCACACAAGATCTCAATATTGGAACAAGAAATCCATCAAGAGAGGGGGCTTAACCCAGAATAAATGTGGAATTGGAAAATGAAATTGAGAGAAGAACCTGTTGGCGAGTGCCGAGAGGAGAAGCGGTGAGGTAAGAGACAGTCCAGTCGAAGAAGACGTAAGGGTCGGCGGCTAAGCAGCAAGTAGCCGACAGCAACACGACCACGAATCGGAATAGCGAAGAGGTGCAGCACAAGTGCGGTGCAGAGCAGCGCATCGGATCTCGCC